GTGCCTGGGAGGCGCGAGCGGAGGCCCGGGCGACAGGATTGGCTTGGGGCGGGGATCCTCGCCTCGAACTTGGTGCCCTGTGATGTCCGCTCAAGTTCTGGGATTTTTACGCCACTGGACTCATATCTCGCTGGCAGTCCCGCGGGGTGAGGAGCCGGTCGTCGGGCAGAGCCACACGACTCTGACTCATCCGTCGGGCCGGAACCGCGGCCCCACAGAGCCCCGAGAAGAAACCCTTCGTCTCGGGGGTGGGGGCTAAGTCCCAGGCGGAAGAGCCTGTGGTGGGGCCAGGCCTAAGCTCTCGACCTCCGACCTCCGGGGAAACTAGGTCCCCAACCCGCGGGCTTCCAGCAATGCCCGAGCGCCCCCCGGGCTGCGCTAGCGCTGCTGTCTCCTCTCCCTTAGATCCGCACACCGGAGGGAATGATGCGGGTGCTCGCACAGCCCCGACTCCAGGCGAGAAGGGCGAGCCCCACAGCCGGACCCGAGACGACCGCCTGGGCAGCAACGATAAGAAGGTGAAAGCAGGAGCCGCTGCCACTGCCAGCGCCTCTACAGCGCCGGGGACCCCCTGGCGGGAGCCGCGAACCGAGGCTATGGATCCAGGTTCGTGGGGGCTCGGCTGGGAAGGGCAGCAAGTGTATCCCTCTGTCCCTCACCAGGAATGATGGAACCCACCCAGCTGGGCAGAGGGGCTGGAGCACTTGAGAAAAACTTTCTCCCACGAGGCCAGAAGCCGCTGGGCCTAGAGCCAAGGAAGGGGGTGTCGGGCTGTAGGCCCCACAAGGGGCGCTTCCTTTCCCCGGCTCTGTTGGGTCAGTTATCCTGGTATTGCAGAAAGGCTTCCACTCCACAGCCCGTTGGTATCCTCGGCCCCCTAGTGGCTGGTTGGGGACTCAGCCTTTTGGGGTTTGTTTTTCCAGCGGTGGGGCCACAGGTCCTGCTCCCCAGGCCCTGCCGCGTGTTGGTGCTGCTGAATCCCCGCGGGGGCAAGGGCAAGGCCTTGCAGCTCTTTTGGAGCCATGTGCACCCACTTCTGGTTGAGGCCGAAGTCTCCTTCAGGCTGCTGCTCACTGGTGAGTACCTCTGGAGGGGTATGGGGAAAGGAGTGCCCTTGCCAGGGCCCTGCCCTGACAGCCACCTCTGCAGAGCGGCCAAACCACGCTCGAGAGCTGGTGCGCGCGGAGGAGCTGGGCTGCTGGGATGCGCTGGTGGTCATGTCTGGAGATGGGCTCATGCACGAGGTGAGACCCGTGGGGGGCTGGCCTGGGTGGCAGGCTGGGCACTCCCTGGGCTGAGGCCACACATGCCTGGACAGGTGGTGAATGGGCTCATGGAGCGCCCCGACTGGGAAACCGCCATCCAGAAGCCCCTGTGCAGCCTCCCAGCGGGCTCCGGCAACGCGCTGGCCGCTTCCTTGAACCACTATGCCGGGTGAGAGCGCCTGTACTGCCAGGTTCCGAGTCCCCATAGGCCCAAATACCTCCCAGTCCCTCTTCTCTCCCTAGAGCCTTGCTCTCAGTTCCAGGGGCCCCCTTCTGAGAACCCCTGCTGGCTGCCTCCGCCTGGTTCATCTGTCTCTCTTCTGCCAACCCCAGGGGCACACCCTAGGAGGAAGGGGAGGCCAAGGGACACCTGTCCAGACTGTCTAACCTTTGCCCCTCAGCTATGAGCAGGTGACTGACGGGGACCTTCTGACCAACTGTACACTGCTGCTGTGCCGCCGGCTCCTCTCACCTATGAACCTGCTGTCACTGCACACGGCCTCAGGGATGCGCCTCTTCTCTGTGCTCAGCCTGGCCTGGGGCTTCATTGCTGACGTGGACCTGGAGAGCGAGAAGTACCGTCGCCTGGGGGAGATCCGCTTCACTCTGGGCACGTTCTTGCGCCTGGCGGCCCTGCGCACCTACCGGGGGCGGCTGGCCTACCTCCCGGTAGGAAGTGCGGTCTCTAAGATGCCTGCCTCCCCCGCGCTGGTCCAGCAGGGTCCAGTGGACGCACACCTCGTTCCCCTGCAGGAGCCAGTGCCCGCTCACTGGACCGTGGTGCCCGACCAGGACTTTGTGCTGGTGCTGGCCCTGCTGCACTCGCACCTGGGCAGCGAGATGTTTGCGGCACCCATGGGCCGCTGTGCAGCCGGCGTCATGCACCTGTTCTACGTGCGAGCAGGCGTGTCTCGGGCCACGCTGCTGCGTCTGTTCCTGGCCATGGAGAAGGGCAGACATATGGAGTGCAACTGCCCCCACCTGGTGCATGTGCCCGTGGTCGCCTTCCGCCTGGAGCCCCAGGACGGGAAGGGTGTGTTCACAGTGGACGGGGAGCTGATGGTCAGTGAGGCGGTGCAGGGCCAGGTGCACCCAGACTACTTCTGGATGGTCAGCGGCTGCGGGGAGCCCCCGCCTAGCCAGGGGCCCCAGCAGGTGCCACTTCCAGAAGAGCCCTCTTGACATGGTGACCTTACTGTGCCTTGGTATGTCTGCGTGGTCTGTGCTGCGCTCGGAAGGGTGGGAAGGTGGAGGTATACCCTGTAAGGGCAGGCTCTGTCTACCAGGGGTCAGGATGCGGTCCTGGGCCAGGAGCCCAGCTGGCTGGGCCCAGCTGCCTGAGGAAGGCACTTCATTTTGTCCTAGAAGCCCTATCCTGTGAATCAGATCCAAATAAAATGACATTCTCCGGCTGCTGGTCCTGTCCTGGGGATCAGAGAGGGAGTGGGGTCTCGCTCCAGCCAAGACCATAGAAGTTAATGCTGACGCTCGGCGGTGCTTCTTGGATCGGGCAATGCCTGGTACCGGGCCCCAGGCACAGTCGTTTTGGCAGCGGGCACAGGGCTGTCTGGACTTCTCACTTGGCGGGTAGGGCTCTCCCACACTCTTGATTAAACCATTTCTAGGCTGAAGAAGCCTTTGGGTGTAGCCAGTGCCGACCTGCCCGCAGAAGACCAAGGCTTGCCACTGGTGTGTCGTTCCTGGGGCCACACAGCCAGCTGGTCTCAGCACAGTTTCGGAGCAGGAGTGTTGGGCAGGGGTTAAAAGGAAGCAGCAGGGAGGGGCAGATGCCAGTCTCCTAGACTGGCAACTATCGTGGCTTCAAGCCCAGGAGAGACACTGCCGACCGGCCAGGAGCCATGAAGGCAGCTCCCTCAAGGATCTGGGAGGAGCTGAACTGGCTCAGCTTGTCGGTCACGGGCCTCGGAGCCACAGACGAGAAGGCAGATTCCGTCAGCCCACTCCTGAACGTGACGGCCAGGAATGGAAACTTCCCTGAGGCAGGAGGGCCACAGGCATTCAAGCAGGCTAGGCTGGGAAGGTGCCATGTGGCAGTTTCCTCACGTGGCCAGGGATGCCAGGTTGGGCTGCCAGAGCCTTCCCACCCAGAGGAAGAACGGCACAGAGCCCAGGTGAATGGCAGAGGCAGGTTTAATGGAGTCACTTTGTCTTGTTAATGAGCCAACCACCCCCCCAAAAAAATGCAAGTAAAAAAAAGTTCAATCACACAGCACTTTATACAGATATATCGTAAGCAGCAGGCATTCACATCTCCACGTGGCCGTGGCCAGCGCGCTGGGACCCTGCCAGGCACACGCAGGCGCGGTCCAGCTCCGCCCTCCCCGGCTCTGCTGCAGGTGTCCCGGCACAGCACAGGCGTGGAGCCCACTTAAGGCTGACAAGACGCATCATGCTTTGGCTTTTTTTTTTTGTCTTTGTCTTTTTTTTTTTCTAGTAAGAGTTAATATCTTTGCTTTTTGAGATTTATTTTTTTCCCAACCTTAAATATTACATACATACACCAAAAATTACATAGCTGCAGTGTGCTCAACAGCATCCTCTGAACCTGGAGCTTCACATTATCAAAAGCTTAGAAAACTTGTAAACCTCTGGGCCTGTCTCGGGAGGGCCACCTCCCTATCGGGACGGAGGCTGCAGAGTTTGTAAGCGAAGGGCTGACGGGAGGCCTCGTTCTCGTGGGCTCTGTGGCCACGCCAGCCCCGGTGTTGCGGATGCTGGGGAGGGGGCCCCGTCTAGGCTGCTGCTCCGGCCCCCCGGGGGGAAACGAAGGGGGACGAGGTGCAGACACCTGCTGCCGTCCGACTGGCGAGGCCTGAGCAGCACGCCAAGCCCCGCTGGCCTCGGACGCGAAGAACAAGGCACCTACAGCCGGTCTGGCCAGCAGCACCCTGCCCTCAACTCCACGTTGGTGTGCGCGCACCTCCACTTCTGCTGTCACCTGAACCAGCCTGGTCCCAACCTCTCTTAGAGAGCAAGTTCAACAGGCCTAGGGGCTACAAGGTGATAAACGGGCCAGAGAAGAGTCGGGAGTCAGTGCCAGCAGCGCCAGCTCCCCAGGGAGAGCAGTGAGCGAGGAGAGCCTGGTGGCGGTGGCAGCAGGAGGGGCCGGGACACGGGGAGGCTACGGTCCGGCCGAAGAGGCGGAAAGGGGCCAAGGGCACCACGCTTCATGCAAGGCACACCCGCTCTCCTGTTGGTCGGCAGGCACCGGGCCCAGCAGGGATCAAGTGCCCGAACTTCCTGCCTAGGGTGACGAGGGGAAAATCGGCCGCGGGGTTTGGATCTCTGCCGCAGGGGACCTGCCGGTGAAAGATCACTTTGGAAGAGAGACAGCAGCATCTCAAAACGCTTCTTGACTTCAGCATCAAACTCACCTCAGGGAAAGGGCAGGACTGGGCTTGCACTGGGGCTGAGGGGACGGGGAGTGGGGACTCCAGGGGAGTGAGGGGCGGCGCTGGCCTCTCGCGCTGTGATGCTCCGGCCTCAGGGCTGCCGCTACTTGCCCTCTGTGCACTCAGCCATGCCTGCCTCGAGCAGGGCAGCCCGGAACTGCGTCAGGACACCCCGGATGCTCTTGATGAAACCCTTAGAGAGCGGGAAGAGGGGGAAGCCAATGTCAGGGTAGCCACTCTTTTCCGGCAGGAAGCTCCGGTAGCTCTTTCTCCGCTTCTTTGGTTTGACACTGGGGGGCACCGATGAGTCCGGCGCTGTCTCCGAAGTCTGGTCTGTGCGGTCCCTGCTGGCTGAGGCTGGGCCATGGGCGCCACCCTCCGAGTCTGAGCCCTGGGAGGCCTCTCCGGGGGCCAGGCCTCCATCCTCGGGTTCTTCTCTGCCGGAGTCTGAAAGCTCGGCCACCGTGGGCGGCTCCGGTGAGCTGCTGTCCTTGGGGACCCCGTTGGGCAGCGGCTGAGCCCTCTCTAGGAGGGCGTGGGTCTCTAGCCAGGACTCGATGCGGCCTATGAGCCGCCAGCCGCCAGTGCTGAAGTGCTGCCGGATCTCCTGCTGGAAGACCTCGGGGGGCCGCCGCACCAGCTGGGCCATGGACTGCACCACGCGGATCAGCGCCATCTCGTTGTAGCAGCGGCTGTTCTCGTAGCCCTCCTGCAGGCCCCGGTCGCTGTCGAAGCCGGCCTCGTTGTAGTACGGTTCGTTCACCAGGATAAGACCTGTGGGTGGGAGCAGTCAGGGCAGGCCGTCCTCGCCCCTCAAAGGGACGGCAGGGGGGCCGCTTCCTCACCCAGCCCCTGGCCACACGTACCCTGGATGGAGATGAGCACCTGCAGGAGGCTGGATTTGCTCGTCCACCTCTCAGTCCCCTGGAACACACACAGCGTGAGCGGCTCGGCCCACAGCCCCGGCTGGCGCCGCCCCCAGACGCGGCTGCTGCCGCTGTGCTCACCTTCCCGATCCAGGTGCCCAGGAGGCTGACGCACACCTTCCCGTTGTCATACAGGTTGGGGTTCAGCCGGCCACTGCACTGGGAGAGGTAGCAGAAGTGGGGCGGCACGGCCGGGTAGATGTTGGGGAGCTGGATGTCGAACAGGTAGAGGCCGTCCTCATAGGGGGTCCGGGTGGGGCCCTTGATCAGGGCCGAGAAGAGGTCCTGGAGGGAGGACGGAAGGCTGACCTCTGCAGGGGGGGTGGGAGGGCTTCTGCTCACGGGGTCTGCTCTGCCCTTCCCGGACACTGCAGGTCACGCGCGGAGCCCCACCCCGGGACGCAGACGCTGCAAGCACCAGGGAAGCTTCTGTTCAGGCCCCCAGCATCTTTGGACCCTGGCATGAGAGGGACTTTCCAAGCTGTCCCCTTCCCCCGGGGTGTGTGTGTGTAAAAACATAAATATATACGTGTGTATGTGTGTGCATATATACGTACATGTACATGTGTGCTTATACGTCGATGTGTAAATGTATGTCTATGTACATGCATGCCTACATATGTACATGTATGTCTATATGTATGTCTCTCTGTGTGCATATATGCATGTCTATATATGTGCATATGCATGCCTCTATACATGTATGTCTATGTATATGCATGTACCTATATGTGTACACATGAATGCATGCCTGTATACGTATATATTCATGTCTGTATGCATATGTATGTACACACGTGTGCATATGTCTATATATACGTGTGTGTGTGTATGTGTGTATATTTAGTCTGCCATAGGGTGCATGTACTCGCCGGAGATGGGGGGGTGTGATAAATCACCCCTGGGGGTATGGCCACGCGGCAGTCCCTTTTCCACTCTCCTCTCGGGATTTTGGGCACACGTGCCCATGTGCCCAGCATGTTTTCAAGCCGCTAGGTTTGGGACTTGAACCACAAAGTTGGTCACGTGAGATCCAGTCACGTAACCTCCATGTCAGCTGACCGCCCCAACATGGTTTTTATGCTATAAGGTTTTTGCCCTCATAAATCACCCTTTAAAATTACATTCCTGGTCCTCCTGCCCTGTCCCCCAGCCCCAAGAAGACATACAACAGTGACAAGCAGTCAGAAGGGAGGGAACGTTCCGGATGCTGAGGTTCCGCTTGCTCTTGGGAGCCTGGGGTGGCCTCGCAACCAGGATGACTGAGGATCTGAGCAGAGAAATGGGCAAACCACTGCAGGGCATGGGTCATTAGGGCTCAGGCGACAATTCAGACACCCAGTGTGCGCGTGCACTCGTGTGACACGGCAACAGGACAGGCAGGGGGTGAGCCAGTTCCTAACCGGAGGGGAAGGGAGCCTCTCCAGTACGTTCTGAAAAACGTCTTGCCGGACGGCACACATGCTCACCAGACAGAGAGGGAGGGGAGAGAGCACCTGCGATGGGGTGCAGTCATGCCACAGCCCCTTCTCCTCGCGTCCTCCCGTCAGGGTTTGGGGTATGCGTGTGTGTGACGTGGCATGTTTTTCAAGATGTCAGGCTGAGTCTTGAACTGCATGGTCGGCCACGTGGGATCCAGCTCCCTTAACCACCAGGCCACAGGCTGGCCCTCCTGCCTGTTCCCGGGGGCCAGACCAGGCTGAGAGCTCACACTCCGTGGGAGAGAAAGTGTAATAAAAGATATGCTACACTTTTTATGGGAAAATATAACCATAAAATCTGTTCCCTTTTTCCTTCAAGAGAGCTGGGACAGGGTGGGACTTCTGAAAGTGTCACTGCAAACCTCGCAGTGGGTGCTGTGACAGCCCCCAGCCCTTGCCCCTGGCTGCCAAGGCAGCTCCGGTGTCTGACCTGGCACCTGGCTCAGCGGAGGCCCTACTGAGGGCTTCTAGACGAGCAGGTGCAGACAGAGCAGCGCGACCGTCACAAGTGACCCTGAAGCTCGCGTGCTGCCTCCAGGACACTGGACTCCAACACGTGGGCCCTGCCACGAACGGTGGGAAAAGGGAAGTGA